TCCAGCCACTCTTCTATCCAATTTGCTAACTTATCCCCCACACCTATAGAGATACTTTTTTTTCAACCCTTATATGTAGCACCTTGTCAAATGCTTTCTGAAAATCTAGATACAACAAATCTACATCATTACCATCATCTACATAAACAGTAACCTTTTCAAAGAATGTTTAAAGATTTGTAAGGCATGATCTTCCTTTAGTGAAACTGTGTTGACTATCCAATAAAATTCTAAACTTTTTTCAATGACATTGCAAAGCATCTTTTATCAGACTTTCCAGAAGTTTTCCCACAACTGGTGTAAGACTAATGAGTGTATAATTACTGGGACAATTTTTTATCACCTCCCTTGAAAAGAGGATTGACATTAGCCAACTTCTAACCCTCTAAAAACCTGAAAAGTGTTCAAGGACTTACAAAAAATAGTAGCAAGTGGCTCACATATCCAATTCTCAACTTTCTGTAAAACCTTTGGAGAAATATTATCTTGTCTTTTCGTTCTTTAAACTTCCCAGTTTTTTAACAAGCTTAGTATTAATTTGATAATCTTTTTCTATCTTGTTTTCATCTATGAACAGTTAAAGATGAGGAATATTGCTTAAAACTTCATCAGCAAAAACTAAAGAAAAAGAAAATTTAATAATCCAGCCATCCCATAATCATCAGATAAAAGCCTTCCTTTAACATATCTCCAAGATCCTATCTCCATCCTAACATTTTGTTTACCCTTAATGTATTTAAAGAAATCCTTATTGTTAATTTTTACATTTCAACCAACCTTTTTTTAATTCATCCTTTTCGATGTCCTAATTTCCTGTTTGACCAACTCTCTTCATTGTCTATAATCTTCTAAATCTCCCATCATACCAATCAATTTAAAGTTCTTAAATTTGGGATGCTTTTCTTTAATTTTATCATTTATACCCTTTGTGAGCCAACCTGTTTTTTTTACTTCCAACCACTTCTTTAAAAAATGTCCACATTTGATCAGCATCTCCAAATAACTCAGCTGTCCAATTCACAACAGATTATAATTCTTGTTGCATCCCTTCAAAATTTGCTTTTTTGAAATTTGCAACCAAAATATCAATATTCCTTATCTCCATATGCAGCAAAACATCAAACCTAAGAGAGCAATGATCACTTGCACCCAGATGCTCACCAATATCTACCCTCTCAACCATTTTTTTATTAGAAGTTAATAATAAATCTAAAATAGCATTGTTTCTAGTAGATTCCTTGATCAAGTGGTGAAGAAAACTATCTTGAGCAGTTTTTAAAAAACCTTTCTTGACTATAAAATTTCCCAATCTATATGCTTGAAATTAAAATCACCCATAATTATGACCTCATTAACAACTGAAATCTTAATCTCACTGTGAAGTTTCTCATTAATTACCTCAGTACCATCTGGTGGTTTGTAATAAATTCCCACTAAAAGCTTTTTCCATTTATATCTGCTAATAGAAACCAAAATAGATTCAATTTCCTTGCTATTATCTTTGATATCCTCAACTTCTACAGGATGTAGGTCACACTTTACATATAAAGCCACTCCTCCCCCTATCTTTAATATTCTATCCCTTTTAAATAACCTACAACCTTGTATTTCAAAAAGAAATTTGTCATCAAAATTATCTACATTTTACCATGTTTCAGTTATTCTCATTATATCAGAATCCCCCATTCCTACCAGCACTCTACAGTTATCTACTTTATTTCTTATACTTCTAGCATTACAGTAGTAACAATTAAGCTTACCCTTACAACTACTTCTGTACTTAATTCCTATACTAACTTTTCTCAACATCTTACTTCTTCTGCATTTGGTTTATCATGGTGCTCATTACTGTCTAGTCCTAGTATAACATTTTCCTTATAGCTGAGTTAATAGCTCTTGCAAACAAGCCCGTACCCAATTTAAATGTAAACCAGCCATTCCAAAAAGCTTCCTTCTCTAATTAAACTGATTCCACAAGTCTAAATAGTGAACCTTCTCATCCTTACATATTACCTTAATCCTGGCACTCAGCCCTAGTGACCTACTTATAATTTCATCCCCACAATTAATTCTCGGCAGTATCCCTAACACAATTAAGTTATGGATGTTTTCTTTAAATGCTTTGATCAACCCCCTGTACTTATCAATTAGTGCCTATGACCTACATTTCCTTCTGTCATTTGCCCCTACATGCACAACAAAAACTGCATTATTGCTAGCCCCTTTATTATATCTCTTCCTCTGTCAGTTATTTCCTCCCTGGGTAGGGGTAGCATAATCTTACTCTTTTTATCCCTATATACCACACTGACTATCCTATCCATGAGACTTAAGACAATTGTCAAAGAATTACCTATTACTATAACTTCAAGTTTGTCATTCACATCCTTCTCTGTTCCTTTTGTTTTCCTTCCATCCAATAGTTCCTCATCTGTGCAAGCGAAGGGCAGAAATCTGTTGCTCAATAGAACATGCTCATTACAGTTAAATCTACTACTTTTAGCCTTAGTAGTACTGTTCCTAACTTCCTGAAAGTCATTGTTAACTCATGTATCCCTTACATGTAAAAGCTTAAGTTTCTCTTGAAATCCTGCTGCCATTTTCCACAGTTTACACTTCTTTTTTACCTATTGCTTCTACTTTAATTAGAATAGCCTCCAACCTGCAAACTTTACAAACAAATTGCACATCTTCACCACTAGCCTACTTAAAAGTACATATCAGACCCCAAATAAAACCTACTAATTGCACCCATCACATCTAACAAACTGTGAATGCTGAACTCCTACACTAATCTTAACCATTATATTTGTAGCCTGAGAATAAATATTCAAAACTACATACCAGTAGCTTATTGACAACATTGTTAAGCCTAACGTTTGAGAATCAAATATATTACATTATTTTATCACTATTTTATTTTCACACTAAAATAATTAAGCTTTTCTTTGAAATATAGGACCAATCTAGTGTTTGTTTTAGTTGATATTTATGTAATAATACAATGTATTTAGCCTGATTTTTAATTTAATTATAAGCTGAATTTAAGCTAGTGGATCTAAAGTCAAGTAACCAATATTATCCTTAAAACATGAAGAAACAATCAACTAGTCTTTAGATTGTATTTGTTTTATAAAACAATGTATTTACTGATAAGTTGAATTATATCTAAGCCTAATCGAATATTGTAGTACAGGTTACACCACTAAGCTTTAATTTAAAGCTTAACTCTACTATTTTTATTTACCAATATTCTTAAATCTAGTTATTCTTTTGTTATTTAACCCAAACTACTACAAATGATAATATTAATATTAAATAATATTCAAAAATCTCCAAGAGCTTAGCTTGCTATTGTTTTATTTCTGCTGTAGTGCTCTGTATATGATGTGTATATGTAGATTGTTGGCTTTTTTTTAAAGAACCATCAGATAGTTTAAATAGATAAATATTGTATGTGTGATGTGAAAATTGATGGCTAATTTAAAGAACATGAAGTAGAAATAAGTAATTGTAAAATTTAACTTGGGAAAAAATATGAATCATTTTGTCAATAATCTTTGTAGGATTAAAAGGTGAAAAGGGTATACCAGGTTATGGTCGTCCTGGTTCACCAGGTTTACCTGGCCCTAGAGGGCCTAAGGGGAGCAAAGGATATCCAGGGAGTGAGGGACAAAAAGGTATGAATACCACTTTCTTATTTTCAAGTTTTAATCACAGGTTATTACTAAACACCAAAATTACAAATGTTATGAGAAACACAGTCTTCTAAATATTTTTCTATGGTAAGGAAAGTCTGAATTCAGCAATAGTTCTCTAAAATAAATTGAAATATAAAACAAGCTGTAATGAAAACTGGAAAATAAGTAATGTGCTTTTAACTGGTAAATGTAATTGATAACACTTGTAAATAGTGTGGTCTTAGCTGGTAATTGTGATGGATAACACTTGTAATAGTTGTTTACATCTCTATTCTGTGTTGTGTAAAATAACTATGAAACAAATTTCTTTTTACTAACAAGATAAAGAGTGTAAATGTTAGCTGAAGCATATTTAACATTCTATAACCTTTCTTCAATGAGAACAAACTTGTTCAAATAGATAACAATGTAAGAAAAAGTTTAAGGAATTAAGACTCAATAAAGAGAACCTTTTCTTTCAAATATTAAGTGTGATTATTCATTTTCATTTAATATTTCAGGACAACAAGAATACATTAGCTTCATTTAACTAATCAGTGAGGCTCAATCCAATCTTCACTAATAATCATTTACAAAAGCAAGAGTTAATAGTCTATATGAGAAATCTTTTATGCATTTGACATACCATTTTACTAAGTTTAAAGCATGTGTGCAATAAGTCCAACCTGCATAGGATTCATTATATGGTGTTATATTCCCATTGTGTATTTACTTATGTGAATATTTTCAGTTATAAGTTTCTTTTTGTTCACTTAAAAAAATTAAAATTTTAAATCTACACTTAATGTACAGATAAAGCAAATGTAGAATGTGTGAACTGTAGAAGCCACTTTCACCTTATTTTAGTGAATAGGTAACAAATTTTGGTATGCCAATAATGTCTTTGCTTAAAATTTTGAATGATTTTAAGATTTTATTTAGATATTAGTTGTTATGACTTTTGGGGGTATTGCAATGGAAATCATGTTGTGTAATTCATCTAGAAATACTGTTGTATTATGGATAGTAAGAAAGAATGTTTATTCACAACAGCCAAAATTGAGAACTTAAAGGAAAATTATTACGAGTTGAATTTCACTAGATTAACCACAATGTCATAAGGTAATAACAATAACAAACTTAATGAACTCCTGTACGGTACACATTTGATAAACTATCATTCAGTTTACTATGGAATTAGCTTCTAAATCCTTATTGACTAAAAATTCCTTCACAAATCCTTATAGATTAGAATATAAATTAATCATCACATCAATATGCAAGTATAATTAAACCTGGTTCAACATCATAAGAAACACAAAATTATAATTCTAGGGTAGAGAGAAAATGTGTTAAAGTATGAATAGGGAGACATTTAGGTCTTGGTGATGAAGACCTGACATTTAGTTTTATTCTGGAATTGTTGTACAAATCTGTGATTGACTGTAATAAATTCAGGCATTATATATAGCTAATTTTGTCTTTATTTTTCCTAGCATCTCCATTTAGAAGTCATTTTTCAAAAACATACTTACCTCCTTTCACACTACAGCTATCACTGAACTGCTAGGGTTTTCTTCCTTTGCCCATCTAAGTATTGGTCTGATTTTTTCTCACTTGCTCCAGTCTTTTATTCCCCACGTAATTGCCCTTGGTGATATCTGTCATGTGACACTCTCCACCTACATTAGTGTGCCTTCTATGTTTGTACTGTATATAAGCATCTTATTCAGATAATAAATTTTTTTCTTGACAGAGCGTTCTTTAATGGGTTTCTCTATACTATGACCTTTGGAGATAATGTGAGCATTATTTGTGTTACCTAGTTGTTTTTTGTAAATAAAAAAAAAATTAATTTGGCAAGCTGATATAGGGCATGAATTTGTGAATTATTGTTTCCAGCACAGAGACAAATCAAGTCTCTGTCCTATCCTGCCTCTGATAATCTAGCATTACTCAACATTGGGGGGAGTCACTCTCAGTTGTGGCTTTTTGTGACCCTATTCCCTATTCATAGTGAAATGGAGACATATATTCTGTCTTGTGGCGTTTTTCCAGAGGGCTCTGAAGCTGCATTTGTGGGCAATCCTGAACATTCTGTAGAGAACTTAGATTTGCCTTTTCCAACTCCTTCCTTTATTCTGTCGGCTTCTCAGGAAGCCAAATTGGCTGCCTCTGACTCCTTTTTTTCAGTTGGTAAATCGAGTGTGTGATGTTTTGGGTCTTTTCCCAGATGCTTTTGAGTCTACATCTTACTTGATGGTGGAATAGTATGAGGGCAAATACTTAGTTCTCCCTCCATACCCTGATATTGTGGTTTATGCAGTGAAGTTTATTGATCAGTTACATGAAGGGACAGCTATACTTTTGTCTGCCACATTTATTGGATCAACATGTTTTAGCTTACCACCACCAGGGGAACGTGTATTTAGACTTTCAAAGAATAGACACACTCCTGGAAATGTGTGGTTCCAGAACAGAGTCTGTGGTCAACCTGAATAGATCACACTTTTCCAGGATTCATCTGACCTTAACTATGGTGCTAAGGTATTTATCATCCCTTCAACTTGTGTTGGAAGCCTCTCAGCGATCACCACATCAACTTAATGATGAGTTAGGATCATTGTTAGCATTTACATTGGTTTAATTGTCAGTTTCTGCACTTTCCCTACTTTCTTGGATGGAATGCTTTCGGGATTTGAGGGGTAGAGGTGCATTGTTGAAGGTGTTTGTCTAATGGCTTCCACCCTCTGTGAGTTACATGAGGCCCCCTTTCTCTGACTGGCCATTCAAGAGTCTTTGGATGGGCAATAGATGTATTCAATCAGAACTGGATGGAATTGCACTTCTATTTCTTCCCACTGATTTGTATGCTACCCAGAGTACTAGCTATGATTTGTTCAACCCTTTGTTGGATTCTGTTGATAGCACCATATTGGCCAACTCAACCCTTGTTTCTGTTTCTGCAGTACCCTCAGGTGTGCCCACCTCTTCCACTTCCTCTTTGGCCTTCTCTGTTGTGGCAGCCACTATCCGACATCATAAACCCAGCCATCCTGAAGCTCAAGCTTCATGCATTGAAGTTGAGGTTATACAGTCCTTCACATGGAATTGGAGTTTAACTTCTAAGGTTGCCATGTATGTCTCAGTCTTTGCATATTCTATTGATGGGCATTTCTCAAGGGAAATGGCACACATATAGAAAGTGGTGTATTACAAGGAGATTGAACCATAACTCGTTTTTTGTCCTGGCTCTTTGACAAGAGTATTACATCTTCCACAATCACCTTATATAAGGTAGTCTTATCGACTACCTTTAGATACTTTAAAATAAAATTATTTGAGTCCCCAGTGCTCTCTGGCCTCCTCAAGTCATTTAAGGTCCTTCCTCCCAAATGGCCATTTCAGTTACCTATCTGGGATATTAAGGGATATTACATGCTCTTTCTCAACATCCGTTTGAGCCCTTAGCCTCAGCACCATGTATCACCTTTCCCCTAAGGTTCTTTTTTTTTTTGCTGTTGGCCTCTGGACATCGCCAGTCAGAGTTGTTTGTGCTGCATGTCTACAGCCTCCTATACTAAGACAGGTATTTCTTACCTAAGACACTGGCAACCAGAGAAGGGGATTAATCTTTTTCACTGATTCATCTGGCTGCTATTTCTCATCTCTATGACTCACTAACAGCTATAGAGGTGCTAGACAATGACTTTTTTATTCATTGAGTCCTTCAGTTTCCCGTGATTTATCCCCTATCACCTTTTTGAGGTGGGTATGAAAATTTATCCATATTGCTTATTCTGGGCATTTTTTGGAGGTGAGCAGACTTCTGCGAATCACATCTCATCAGATTTGTCTCATTTCTATGTCCTTAGCAGCCCAGTTGATTTACCTGCCGGAGGACATTGTGTGAGCTGGTATGTGGGCCTCCCCCAAACTTTTATTTTCCATTATTTGCATGATCTGGCAGTGTCTTCCTCTGAGGGTTTTTCAACTACCCCTGTAGCTATCTTAACCACATCTGCTAGATTATAAAAGTCCCTTACCTCTATTTTTACAGGATCCCACTTTGACAGAGTGAGTGTTGCCCAGGCAGGTGTGCTTTTATCAAACCTATTCTACACTAGCAACCATTAACACAATATACTTTTTATAGGTTGCAACAGGCTCTGTAGAAATGAGGTGTTCCAGAGAACCATGTAGAGGCAGACCAGGTGGTATTACTGTACTATACTGGACTACCACTCATGGAATATTATGTGTAAAGCATAAAAGGATACTGCCTGTCCCTGCTGATCTTTGGCTTGAATTAATTGGAGTCGGTTTACTTTTAAAAATTTGCAGAACTTGGTTCACTTATTGCACTGTTTCTCAGGACTCCCCACCCATATTCTACTAGTGAAGCTAGGAAGTCCTTACTACACCAAGTTTCTATTCACTGCGGTAGTGGACAGATGCTATTTCTCCAGAATGTTGAAGTGAATTTCCTCTTAGGGCCGAGTTGGGGGCCATCCTACCCGGGACCCTGGATGTTTCTTTCACAGATGTTAGTTGGAGAGGAACCAGCCTATGCAGGAGACTACTAGTAATATTGGATCAGATTTGACGCTTGGCTATCTGGTTAGGTTGAGTGTGGCACTTCTTTTTGATCAATATTGGTTCAGTATATTGTTCATGGAAGAGGGTCAATTGTCTCTTCGTAATTTCAAACTTAGAGTGGTCCCATCCTGGGTCCTTGGTTGAGCACAGTTTGTACCACATCCTCCCCATAATTCCAGGGACAAGTGGAATTAACATTGCTCACACGTTTGGGGAGTGAGGATGAGTGTTCATATTTCCAAACCAGACGAATTTTGTTTCCTCAAGTTGAGTATGGCATATAGGATCCCATCATTTTGAGTTTGGGGTGTTGCCTTTCGGACTTCTTCAGGTTGACGAGAAGGTTTGTCCACTTAGGTGTTGCATACCTTCTTGCTGTGATTACAGTGACTTGGAATGCATCACTGTATAGCTACAAGTTGGGATCCACTCACAAGTATATTTATTGTGCTAACTGCCCTAGTCATCAACGTGGGATTTAGGGACCATGATCCTATAATTTCAACCCTGATCAGTGGAACCTTGCCTATCTGGTTGGAGCTTGGCCAATAGTGATGAAGGATCATGTCAAATTCCACCCACAGTGCATGAATTAGGTTCTGGGTGAAGAGCATAGCTGTTCTGGATGTAGTGCAGTTCCCTCACTAGGGTGTTAATCTTTTATTGGCATGCCCATGATATATGCAGATATATTCTGTATTGATAATGCCCTCACCAGCCCTTCTATCTTATCAATGTGGGATTCTAGCTGTAGTGTGAGTGGAGGTAAGTATGTTTTGGAAGTTAACATTTTCTTGAATTGAAAATGTATTTCCAATAATTCTTACCTTCACTCACACTTTCCTGCCCTTTTTCCCCACTAAGAGCCAGTGTTAGAGACTGCAGATTGGGTCAGTCTCAAAAAAGTGATAATATTATCTGAATGAGGTACTTATATACAGTACCAGGATAGAAGACACATTGACATAGGTGGAGAGTGTCATGAGACAGATATCTCCAAGGGCAATTAAGTGGGAAATAAATGACTGGAGTAAGTGAGAAAAAATCAGACCAATGCTTAGATGGGCAAATGAAAAGAAACCCTAGCAGTCAAGTAATAGCTGTAGTGTGAGTAGAGGTAAGTATTATTGAAAATACATTTTTTGATTTAAGTAAATGTTAACTTTACCATCTTAAATTTTTTGAAAGTTTAAGACAGTGTAAATAAGGTCATGACACTGTTTATAAAACACATTTTACTAAACACTCCAAAACAGTTTTAAATAATACTCTTTATGACTTCAAATAATGTCAAGAGACAATTTTATCTAAAATCTTACAGAATCCCATTTATATCAAAAGATTATTTAAATTTTGATACCAACATTTGTTGCTGTACAGATGTGATAGTTTTCTAAAAGTCCAGATACTCAGCAGCTATATACATATCCTTTAAAAAAGCTGAAACAGTTGTTAAAAAAGTTTATGTTGAGGAATACACTATTCTGAAGCTGTACTGACTTTCATGTAGCATTTTGTTAGTTCTAAAAATCATACTAAAAATATCAGTAATCAACATTTTTATGAGAATTCATAGACGCAGTTATAGATTGACCCAGTAAAGTGTTAAAAAAGTGTTTTCTCAGGTGAATGTGGCCTACCAGGATTACCAGGTCCAAAAGGCCAACCAGGAGAGTTTGGCCTCCATGGGCCACGTGGCTTTAAGGGGGACAAGGGGGAACCTGCATTGGAAGGCTTACCCGGCCCTCCTGGACCTGCTGGACGTGATGGAATCAAGGGTATGCATGAGGATAATATTAATGATGTTGTGAAGACAACTCAAACCAATTTAGTAATTATTTGTTTCAGAGTAATAGTTAGAAATTAAACTGTTCTAAATGAAACAACTACATAGTCACTTTTGCTTCACTCTGTGCATTACATTTCTATGTAAGGTTGTATATAACTTTCTCTAAAAAAATACTTTAATTGTATAATGTGTGACTTTCAGTATTGAGTGAAGGATTAGATTAAATTATTATTTTGATTAATATTCAATATTACAGCAATACTTTAAGGGCTCCTGGGATAACAGATTGCTTAAGTATTTATGGATTATCTCTTTGATGTTAATAAATTCAGTACAAATCTTATGCTAAACCCCCCAAACTGTTGTATTTGTTCCAGTAGGCCTGAAAGGGAGCCTTATCTTTCTGCCTTCATCTCTTTTTTTGTAATGCTGGCACTACTTCATTAGTTCCATGTTATTACCCAGTACACCATGGCATACAGTTTACTTGGTTTCTGCTTTATCTCGATGACCTTCTTTTTCTGGCCTGTCCTACAGCTCTCTGTGGCTCAGATCCTTACTTCTTTGAAACAAGCCTTTCCTCACTGTATTCCAGAATGATTGATCTGCATTCCCATGCTTCTTTCTGGATTATGGTTAGCACCAAAGTCAAATTCTTCCAAAGCATCCCAGGTAATGAGCTATCATGTCTTTTGGAAGTTCATTAATTACTAGAATGAATTATGGTCCACTTGCATCAGGAGCTTTCTGTTCATATGACAGTGTTGATAGTGGTTCCCAAAAGTGACTGCAGCTTATTTTTTGTGGTACATTTACTTTGCTAAAGCTAGTTTAAATCCTTGCTGTCAATGCCACAATCTTTCTACTTTATTCTGTAATTGAAACCACACAGCTCCTATTCTTGCATCATTGATATCAGTTTTCAGGATGAAATCTTTACTGGGTAGACCTGTACTAGTCTCTGGACCAAAGCTTGTTTCAATTCTTGAAATTCTGTTTCAGTTATTACCCTAATTTAAATTATTAATTTTTATGTGTTGTTAAAGGCATCACAGTAGAAAACTGGGTAAAACTTCAGGTAATAAACAATTTGGATCTCCTTCCCGCTGCTGCTGGAGCCTGGTCATTTTTACACTAAACAAATCATTTCTCTCTGTCTGTGATATTTCCTGCAAATGTAATTTAGAATTTTATTAAGTTATTTGGGTCTGTTGGAAACTTTTCTAACAAACGAGCCTATCATTTACACAAGTTAAACAATGCTCTCTCTAGAGACACATAACCATCTCTATCAGTTGATGGAAAATGGCTGGGCTATTACATAGAATAGACCAACAGTAAAGCTATTAAATTCTTACAGCCCTCAGCCCATGGAGCAGACTGGCTTAAGCTTACTTTTTCTATTTGACAATTTATAACATTTAATTCACCCTAGCATTCATTCCATCTTTGCCATATTACTTGTGGCACAAGGTAAGTTACTTGATGACTACTTGAGTACTCAGGCTCCTCTGATATCATGACCTTGGCCCTTTCTGATCAACCATCTGTGATTAGAAAGATGTCTTGAGCCTGAAAGGTAAAACTGCTCAGCTTTCAGGAATTCCGGACCATATCTGGGGAAGCTCAAACTTCAAGAAACTTTTTTAAGTGTTCTGTGTTCAGGTGGCACTGGGACCTTCTCTGTGACTTTTACATCCTTAAATGCACTAATTTTTCCAAAGTTTTCACAACAGTCTGTGCATCCTTTCTTGAAGTCTTTGTACGTTTTCTTGATACCAATCTTTATTTGTGTCCCCTAGTCTTACTATTCTCACCATTAAATATGAAAAAAAAACAACAATTAATCAATCAACACAATTAATTTCCTTAACAATCTTAAACACCTCAATCAAATCCCCTCTAACTCTGCCTTTCTTCAAGAGAAAATAAGTTCAGAGATTTTAACCTATCCTCATATGACAACCCCCTCCATCCCAGGTACTATTTTAGTAGCTCTCCTCTGAACCCTTCATAAGGTAAGAAGCCCAAGACTGATCAAAGCACTCCAAATATGGCTTATTCTCATAATTCAAATTATTACTTTACATTTATTATAATTAAAAGTCATCTGCCATTTATTTGCCTGACTCATCAAATAAGTCAAGTTCTTTTGTAAAGCAGTAACATCCTCCTCAAGGCCAGCAACACCTAAAACTTTAATGTTATCAGCAAATTTCAATAATCTATTGACCATTCCTTTTTCCTTGTTATTGATGTAAGTCAAAATGAACAAAGGTCCTAACACTGAGCCCAGAGGTACCCCAATTATGACATTACACCAGTTTGACTGAAATCTATTTATAACAACTCTCTGTTTGCTTCCATATAGCCAGTTTTCTATCCAATGAGTCAACCACTACCTACAGAGAGAACTTTTTCGACAATTCTTTTATGTGGCAGTTTGCCAAATGTTTTCTGAAAATCTAGATATACCAAGTCCACACCCATACCCATATATCTACATAAGCAGCAACTTCTTCAAATAATGTAAAAAAATTAATAAGGCAAGTGAAATCATGCTGACTATGTAACTTTGTTAAATGACTTTGCAAACATGTTTTATCAGACTTTCAAAATCGTTTTGCACCACTGTTGTAAGACTTATAGACTTATAAATACTAGAACAATTTTATCATCTCCCTTGAAAAGAGGAGCAGCATTAGCCAACATTCAATCTTCTGGTACCAGCCCACTATTCAAGGTCTTTGAAAGAATAATACCAAGTAGCTCACATATCCAAACCTTAACATTTTTCAAAACTCTTGGGTAAATATTATCTGGCCCAGGAGCTTGTTCATTCCTTAAACTTTTAAATTTTTTCTTAATAAGCCCAGAATTAATGTGATCATCTTATTCTATCTTGTTTCTATCTAGCAACTGTTCAAGATGAGGTAAATTACTTAAATCTTCATTAGTAAAAGCTAAAAAAAGTATAGAATTTCATAACTCAACCATTCCATGATTTTCAGATACTAGTCTTCCTGTACCATCCCTCAAAGGCCCTTCTTCTATCCTAACATTTTGCTTACCCTTAATGTTTTTAAAAAAATTTTTACATTTTCTATTAACTTTTTTTCATATATTTTTTAGTCTCATAGTTTCCTATATGACCAACTCTCTTGACCTTCTGTAGTCTTTCAAACCTGCCATTATTGTAGTCAATTTAAACTTTATTTATAATGCTTTTTGTTAATTTTAGCTGTTATACCCTTTGTGAGCCAACCTGATTTTTTTACTTGCAGCCACCTATTTTTTTGTTTATAAGGGACATGCCTATCTTGGACGTTTATGAATTTATTAAAATATTTTTTTACATTTCATCAGTATCTCCAGGTAATTCAGTTGCCCATGTCACAGCAAGTAATTCTTGTCTCACCTCTTCAAAATTGCTGTTTTGAAACAAGAAAATAATATCTAATTACTTCATATGTCCATATACAGCAAAATGTCAAATCTAATTCAGCAGTGATCACTTGTACCCAGATGTCCCCAATCTTTGTCCTATAAATGTTTTTATCAATATTTAACAATAAATCGAAAATAAAACCAAATTTGAAGAAAACTCTCCTATGCAGTTCCTAAACACCTGTCTCCCTCATGATTTGACTCTTAACTTTTCCCAAACTATATGCCTAAAATTAAAATCTTCCATCATTATAACCTCATTAACAGTTAAATTCTTTATCCCCCTGTATAGTTTCTCATAAATTTCAGCAGTTTCATCTGGTGGTTTGTAACAAATTTCAACTAAAAGCCTTCTCCCCTTATAACCTCTTGGAGAAACCCAGGTTTCGTTCATGGTCTCTATTCCCCACTTCCTACTTTTGCTGGTACTGGCCTACTTGTATTGTTTCTGAGTTAAAAGTCTTACTACATTTGGACTTCAAGAACTTAATTAATTGGGAGGTCTTTGTAGCTTCCTCTCTTCTTTTCTGGGATCCTCATAGTGATTTGGACATCATCCTCTTCATTGTTCTGTCAATTCATGCACAAAATAGTCTCCTTCAAACCCTTTTTGAGCCCATCTTCCCAAATCTGCCTTATTCTTAAGGCTACTTCTTGATATCTTGTGTGTCTTCTTTTTTTATTTATGATTTGAGGTTTTGAAGCTGAAGATCTAGGAACTGGCTTCTGCACCACTAAAGCCACTGGCTTTATCCTTTTACTGTACACTTATCCCCTAACTACTACCTTATATCTAGATGACATACACTAGAATGCCATATGATAACTTAGAGTCTCTGAGATTAGTTCCTCGGTGAAATAGTTAATGAGGACTTCTTATCTGTTAGATGCTTTTATATGAAGATATGTCTTGCCATAGATTACTCTCAAGACCTCTGCACAGGAAACAAGGTTTCATTCTTCTCAACTCTTTATCTTAACTTCTCCATTATAGATAAAAGCAAATTTCCTTGAGATCAAATGTTTTTTTCTAAGATTTACTACTGCATCCTATTTACTGTGCTATCTGTGTGAAAGGTTTGCTACCATGTTAAACAAGAACCTTCTAAAGCCATTATAATCAGAGGGTGCTCTGGTGTTTGATCCATCCCTTTTAATGGCATAATTATTGGAAGTTTTATAGGATGTCCCCCAAAAATTCCAATTCCTTCATGGTACTCTTAATTCTTTTATTTTGTGCTTGTTATAGTTTTCTTACTATAACTTTTAAATTAGTAAGCATATGTTAACAAAATTTAGCAGATTATCAGTTAACATTATAATGCTTTCATCCGCAAAATATCAATTTTTTTATTAAGTCTTAAGATTTGTAAAGCAATGTTTTTCTCATGCTTTTTTTTTCTTTTCGCACATTGCCTCTCCAACATGCAAAGTAATTTTCATTTTAAAATTAAAAATACTTTCATGCACGAGAAAATTTTAAAATTTCACATGCTAAATCTTTATAATATCCAGATAGTTATCACACAATTCTTAAGAAAAAAACTTTATATTTTATCTGTTATTTTCAGTAACCAATCTCTGTACAGGTTTGGGAGGTTTGATAGATCTCATAACCAACATAAAAAAATTAGGAAATAAATAAAAATTATGTCTCTTTCATTCTAGAATGACAACAAATTATAAGACGAAAACATAAGTATTTAGACTAAATAGCTTAAATCTCATAACATTATACATTTATATATATTTATAATTTTTATTATATTGACCTTTCAGCCAATGTAACAGAAGTTACAATGACGTGGCACACATGCCCTCATGTTACCGTATCCAATAATATAAAACTGACCTTTAGTCTTTACAAAGTGACCTGTCATGGCTG